TGGTCAGTTATTGTGATCAATTTAAAATATGCTAAAAATATTGTAGCTTCGGGAGTAAGGGGGTTCCCTGCCTGGGGCAAGTTAGCTACGAACTTGGCGAAACTAAAGGAGGACAAGGGGGACAGGCAGGTTGGGAGAAAGGGTTTTTATCACTCACAACTTGCTCAAGTTCAGTAGCCAGCCCCGGCTCCATCTGTCTCTTGTGGCTGCAGCCTGCATTCTTCGCCCTGCCGGCCCCTCCCAGCAGAACCTCTATAGGCGTGTCTCTGGTGACTACTGGGCACCAGACCAATTAGGTGCCAGGGAGGGAAGGGAGGAGAGAATGGCCATTTTCTTCCCACCCCTTGCCTGGGCTTGACCAGAAGCTCTCTGCCATGGTAAGCACCCACTGGTAGGTAAATGCACTAAGGCCAGGCAGGAAATTCTGGGTGAAAATTTCCATTTACTCCACAAATACTTACTGTACCTTATTCCTTTCTGCATATTCATACAATGCTAATCTCTATTATGCACTCTTGTTTCAATTCCTGAACTGCCTTTCCTCCAATACTCAGAGAAAGGAAAGCTTTCATTGCTAGCTCATAGCAGACTATAATTATGCCTTTTATCTTATCTAACAGTTACTATCCTAGAAAATTATACCAAGTACTTACTTCTCTCCAGATTTTCAGATACAAGAACTTTCATGCTAACCTCTGTCTTTAAGAAACCAAACATGACTATAGCATTTCAGAAGAAGCCCCAAAGATGACCATAGTTCACCTTTTATCCTGTACTTTTATGTTTTTCTTTACTAAGAATGAAATTGATAAGGTAGCTAAATATGATTTGCTTTCAGAAAATACATCAATTTTACACGTGTGAGTATCAGATTTCTACTTAGATTGTTTAAGCCAGCATTGGAATTCTATGCTGATCACATCACATAATGAAGGGGCAAGCAAAGCTTTTAAATATATAAAATGTTTAAAGCCATTAATAGATATTTTAATGACATTTTTCCAATAGAATTCCTTTTGCATTAGAAAATTATCAGCCTTCTTTATATTGACACAGTATACAATATTTAAATTTTTAAAATGGATCTTGACTGAGCTGGTTCAGGTTTTAGAAAAATTGTCGTAAAGATAGGGGATTAAAAATTTATTGTGCCCAAAGCATCTTTATAATTTGGCATTATAGTCTTAGAAATATTTAATAGCTTTGCAGAAGGTAATACAAGGAATTGCTAGCTGAGAAAGCTGTCCTTAATTATTGTGTCTCATCTTCCTTTAACAGATATGCTTATTAAATAATCCATGGTTTTGGTTAGGCCCATTTCATAGTCTTTAGATTTGGATTTTGACCTAACAGAACACCTAGGAATAGCTACATCTTCACCATACTTTGAAGCTAAGTAGAAATAAGACAGAAATCTTTGTTATAACATGAATCTTCTGGCCAGCCTCCCTCCCTCCTTCCCTCCTTCCTTTTTTCCTTCCTTCCTTCCTCCCTCCCTCCCTCCCTCCCTTTCTTCCTATCTTCCTTCTCTCTCTCCTTCTCCTCCCTCTTCCTTCCTTTTTCCCTTCTCAGATAATAAATCTCTCACTCCCCTGCTCTTCATTGACAGGAAACAGACAGAAGGAAGTAGAACTGAGTGGGACTCATTGGTATGCCAGTAACATCTTGGCTTCAGCCTATAGTGTCTAGATGTGCCGGTGCCTCCACGATGATGCCCAAGAGGGAAAAGTAGGTTAGGAACATATTGAGCTAACCTATTTTCCATACATAAGTATGGCCTTACCTTTTTAGGAAGCCACACACTGAGGAATATGCATGCAGTCCCAGTTTTTCCCAAATACTCTGTTTAGCACCATCTCTGGGAATGATTCAGACACTTAAAGAAGGCAGAGGAGGATTAAGAAATCAGTCTCTGTTTCAGAATAAGTATTATTCCATAAAGAAGAGCTCAGGCCCAGTCTCCACAGAGTTTCAGGTGACAGTTTAACCAAATCAATGGGTGATCTCCACTGAAAGGAAGCGGGAGCATTCAGCCGTGGATGCCTTCCGCCATGAGCTGGATAACCTCCACTGGGTCTTGGAGATTGACAGCTCAGACCAAAGTGCTTTGCCCACAGTGCTGTTCCTAGCTCCTTGGCACAGTCTGCAGGTATGGGGAACTTAACTTTCCATTATCAACAGGCGCTGAAAATTAGCCAAGGCTTTGCTTCCCTGAAGGAAGAGGAGCACTTTCACAGACCTTCATGTGGTTGCTTAGGAAATAGAGGACGAGGTGGATTGGAATAAAGTCAGGCTTTGTCTTGTCAGGGATTGAAGGAGTGGCCCTATGGCAGAGAAGTATAATAGCTCCTTACAGATAAATAAAGGTCTAGAAAGATGATAATTTTTGCTTTGCTTAAATGACAACTTAAGAGAGAAGAAAATTTTTTAGGTGAGGATTGACAGTGTGATACTGGATTCAGGAGCTCTGAATTGTGGCACTTGCCGTGGCCCAAACACTGCCCTCATGGGCGTGCCAGTCAGTATCTCTGGTGTCAGTTTCTCATCCTTTAAACAAGTCCATAGTCAGATTGTCTCCAAAGCCCTTTCTAACCTTTATCGAACATTTCAGCATTTAGCCAAATACATAACATTTACTCTTTCTTTTTTTCCTGCACATTCCTAGGTTATTGCTTTCTCCTCCATTTTACATGAAAAAGCACAATGTTCTGGGATCCTTGAAAATACGTGAGCCAACAAACACAGTTTGGGGAGGTATTTATTAGAATGTTTCTTAGTAAAAGGATAATGCCAAATTGTGGTCAGCCAACTCCACTGTGCTTTCATGAAAAATCCTATTTCCCATAGCACTTTTAAGATTTCTCTGAGCCCTGGGAGCATTATTTGTTTTTGGAAGGATGTTAATCACCTTATAGTAGTTTTAGGTCATCCTCTATTTTTTCCTCAAACATAAAAGCTTTATCTGAAATACAGTGTGGAAGAAGAAACTGTACATAGGTTTACACACTATATGTTTATTTTTCTTTTACATGTGTTGCAGTTTTTTCCTTTGCTGATATATATTGACACCTTTTAGTTGTAACCTGCTGTTCTCTTTAATTGCTTATTGTTATTAATTATATAGGGGTAACATCGTTGGCTGCTTGAGCCACTTGGCTGTAAAGAAATTCCTTTGTCATTATTGCCGTTGGAGCTACAGAAAATTGCCAGCATTCTATCCAGAGATGAATGTTCTTGAGCTCACATCCAGTAAAATATTGAACATGGGTCAAATCCTTAAATGTTTTCTTTTGGCAGCTCCCTTTTGCTTCTTCTCGTCTATGCAATAAATACCTTCATTGTAGCTGATCTTTTGTTTTCTGTCCTTCATTTGCTGCCCTTTGTGTGAAGTTTATGTATTTATTCTTAGCACTCCATTTAATGGCCTGTCCGAGTAGCACCTTTATTTTCTTCTCATATACTTAACTGTAAGTTTTCCTTCTAAGAGATTCATTTATAATGCAAACAACATTCCTGTCTTTACAACTTTGTTATATGCAGATTTTATTTGAAATCGTGAATGCCAATTGGACATTGCCTTAAGCCCCCACCTTGCAATGAAAGTGAGCATTATGCCTTTAAGAGTAACTGTAAACCGCTTCTACTCACAATATAAATAGAGATATTTAGATTCCCAAATTAGGAAACTGCCAGTATAATGAATAAGTGAGTGAATGAATGAATGATGTACACGTTGCAAACGTGGGGATGTGTGTTCGCACACCCAGCTACTTCCTGATATCTGTAGTTTCTTTAAATCTGGGCTTAATTTAGAATCCATGACCCCACAGCTGCATGTACCACAGAACAGCCAGGCCAGAGCACTCCTCTGCCTTCTGGCAGCATGACATTAAATTCACACTAGTTAAGCCAACTTAAATTGAGCCTCCTTGAACCTTCCTAAATAAAACTAGTGGCCTTAATTACAATCAGGCAATTTAAAGGTTATGGAGCTCTAACTAGTACTGCAGTATATCACTTTAATAATGCACAGGAAAATTTCTCTAAGGGGTGGCATCGTTTGATTAGAAGAAGTTTCACAGTACATTTCCAACAAACTGTTTTTAGAAATCTTACTGCATTTATTGCACCATTACCATTTTTTATTCTTCAAGGCCAACTTTCTAAGGTCACATCAGTAGAACAATAAAAATGTGAGTCATTTGCAAATAACATGCAGTACTGTGATTTTTGCATTGCTGTTTAGGATGCCCTTAGTATTGCCACAGACAAAATGAAAGGAAAGGATAAGGTCCCTTGGAAATCTGAGGGACCCTGGTCCCCTTGACACCCTCATGCCCCATCGCAGATTTGACTTGTTCTTTGGTGGTGAACCTGATTCTAAACACCATGGTTTAGGAGAGAAGATGTCATCTTTGCAATAATAAAATAGTCTCATCAATAATATAAGTTTCTTAGATAATTAGCTTTGGAAATGCCCAACTCGTTTTTCATCTGAAACCTGTGGACATTAAAAACTCCATGGTTGTTGTTATCCCTGCTATTTAGAGATGCTGGTGAACCTCATTCCATTTCCTTTGTTTGTTTGATTTGGGTTTTTTTTTTTATTTTTTGTTTGTTTTAAAATCATCAGCAATAACAAGCTATGCTTTCTAGTAAGGATAAACAGCTTTTCACTGTTTAGAGACTTCCTCCTTCAGATAACTAGTGGCTTTATGCCAAGAAGAAGAAGAAGATAGAAAAAAAAGAAAAGAAAATGAAAAGGCCCTTGCCATAAACTTAGCACAGCAGCACAAAAACATACCTGATAAGAGCTATGTCCAGTGCATAGCTTGAGTGGCTGGCCCACTGCTGTGTGGAATTAATATTGACTATTGCACCATCTCAGTTCTTGAAGATGTTGTCCCAACAGATTGAACTTTAAAGCAGGTTACATTTAGTGTATGCTGCATGAACTATCCTCTTTCGATTTTACCAATTTGTGTTTTTTTTTTGTGCAGTACTCGAAGGTAAATATACCTGTACTTCCACCAGTGCCAGAAGTCCCAGATGGGAGGGCATTAATAGTAGGTATTTAATATCAAACAAGAGAAATTTTAAGCAAAGAGTGTAACAAATGCATACATCTGATTTAACCAGTATTAGTTAAAGTGATGGAGCTGTGTAATATAAGCATACATAGCTACTAATACAACTTGCTTAAAACATGAACTATGGGTCATGGATGTATGATGTAGTTGACTTCTCTATGACTTGGGACAAATAAAAGGTAATTTATCCCTTCTTTCATATGGTTATGTTTTTGCACTTCAGATACAAAAATGCATAATAACATATTTACTCCTAAAATTAAGGATGAGTTTTGACTCATCAGTTTCTTTCCAGAAATAAACTAGCAGATGAGACAGTCGCTTTGTTAATGCTGGATTTGCCAAAGCATTTTAATCTTACTTCAGGAAATAAGGAAGGCAAATGGTCTAAGGTAAATTTGGCTAGTCCAGAATTGTCAAACGTCTAGGGCTTAATGTGTATGGAATAGAGCAAACGTCTAAAACTCAATGGATAAATAATAGATACCATTTTGGTGTTAGTCTTGGCATTTTGTTCCAATGAAATTAGATGTAGGACTAGCTAAGTATATATTTGCCATAAATTCAATAAATATTTATTGAGTTCCAACTATGAGCCACATACTGTTCTAGGCACTTGATATATATGCTCTCCTAAAACTTGCCTCATAGCATGAATTGATGTATATTCCAAAATGCAGTTCTTGGCACTGTCTTGGTGTTAAGATATCCCGGGCAGCCACCCACTACTCTTTAATAGGCAAAGCAAGAGCTGAAACGCCTTCCTGATTTGGAAACATGCTATTTCCAATCATCTTTATGTCTAATTATTATGTGAAGTGGAAGGGAATTTTTTCTACAGTCTTTGTGTGTTCACAAACCTTCCGTCAAGGCAGACAACAGAGCAGGACTAAAGATTACGTGGTGAAAACTTCGCAAAAGAAAAAGGGTTACCTTCCCATTCAAGTCAGCAGAAAAAGGGAAACTGACTGTTCAAGAAAACTGAATCCCTTTTAGTGCAATACAGGGCATATGCTGAAGCCAAAGACACTAAGCTAGCTTTTTTTTAGAAGCAAGCCTGATTTCTGCAGAGACCTGAAGGCTGTATTTCAGCCTGAGTTGGTCTTAGTCAGTCTCAGTCGTCACTTCCAGCCCTATCCAACTTTGCCTTTTTCAGGGATAATGGGTTTTGTTTTGTTTTTTTTACTATGAAACATGTACTGCTTTCTTCTTTCCTTGGTAAAGAATATTTTTTGGGGGGAGTGGGGAGGGTGGAAGCTCAGTGATTTTTATCAGTGCCTTACCAAACACCAGGTTTGCTTTTTTAAAAATAAAAACATTTAAAGCCCAAATTGTTACCTTTAAAGCTAATTTGCTGGCACTGTATGATTCCTCTGAGACGTCGGCAAGGGGGCTTATGTTCAGATCAGGAAGGTAGAGAAGAAAACGTGGAGACCTGGAGGTGCCAACATGCTGGTCAAGTTTGGAAGGTACTTTTAGTCTGTGCCAAACTTGTGCCAGAAGTATCACTGCTGGGTCCCCTCAGATGGAGGGAAGCCATCTTTTTTTAGTGGCTTGCTTGTTTTATTGTTTACTGTTTGAACAGCATTCTGGTGTTTTCTCCTCCATGGAATATTCTAATAACTACTGCCCACACCTGATAATAATAGCCAAGGAATTGAAGAGTATTGCATCTCAGAGCATCTAAAAATCCCACTGCCTGACTCTCCTAGCCCGACCCACCTGGACCTCCTGCTAGTTTCCAAGCTGCTGATGTTTATGGGGCTCTAGGCAGCCCCTGGGCTCTTCAAAATCTGCTGGGTACAATGCAGCCTACCCCAGTTGAATCATTTCCTGCTCCAGCCCTGCTGATAATGAGAAGTTCAAGACAGGAAATAACAGTGTCAGTATCAATGGCTTTGCTTATAAAGTCCAAAAGCATCAAAGCCTTTAGACCACTGGTCAAAAGCAGGGGGTAGCGGAGTTACATACAGACTTGGATGCACCTCCTAGGTCTCCTTGAAATAAGATTTTGGCTGAGACACCCAGAAGTAAACCATTTTGCCTTTCTTGAGAATACCTAAGGGTTAGGCATGTGTGGATAATCCAAGTCAAGGTGCAGGGTGCTCATTTACTCTCAGTATTCCCAAAGCCCTTTCTCTTTTATTGTGAGCCTTGGGCTTGTGTCTCATATTCGTCTCTTGTGTGGCATAGAATACTGACAGTGGCAGACATTCCCATATTGCCAGTGAGAAAAATCCAAGAAGTTGCTAGCATCGATCTTCAGGCAACATTCATTTTCATATTGAATTGGTCGAGAATAGGGCAGGATTTCTGAACGAGTTGAAAGGAAAGGTTCACACAATATTCCATGCTCGCAAATTCTGCCTTTCTTTGGAGGCTTTGTGACTAATCTCCTGGCAAACTTTAAGACCTAAGTAATATTCTCCCTTGTGAAATTAACACCTCAGTGTGTTTACGTTACAGTTGTGAAATATGTGCAGTATATGATGCAACAAATTATAGTGGCCTGAGCACTATGGACCTAGAAAGATGGGAAGGCTGTGTACATGGCAAATTACAGTACAGTCTGCCTATTTTTCTACTCCTGGTTTCTAGGGTGAGCCAGCATAGCCAAGGGGTAAGTTTTGTCATGTATGGCTTTTCTTTGTTACTCCTTAGACCCCTAGCTTATAAATGTGTGCTTGGAAATTAAGTCAGGCAAGAGGAAAAGCAAAGTAAAGGATTGGGGGTTTGGAATTGGTTTAGGGCATAGTTTTCTGGGATTTAAAAATATATGTAAGGATATAGTGGTATACACATTTGAACTGGAAAAATTACGAGTGCAGGGCATTTGATTCCTCTGTTTGGATTCAAAGGGCAGAGTTTACTCCCACACAGATCAGAACCTTTTAAGTATGGCCCTCACCACATGATGTACCAGAAGGAGTTTATATCTTTGGACTTTAGCCTATAGATTTATGCAGTGGAAGAGGCTGGAGGACCCTTCTGGCCAGTCTCAAGGGTAAATGGAAGAAGGAGTTCTACTTATAAACTGTTACAAATTGGTCCTCAGTAATGGCTGCAGTGTTGATCAGACAATGTAAGGGGGCCCTCAGTGATTCCCAGAACAACAGCTGCATGTAAGTCAACCACTGAACATTTGCTTGTAGCTGCTCTCGATTTTTGTTTTTATTGAAGGAAAAGGAGTATAAACATGGGACACAGTCTGGAGGCTGCTTAAAGGGTTTTCCTTGTTAAAGCTTATGTTGAAATGTCAGCATCTTGTGTTAAGCTAACAATTGCCATATTGGAGCTTATAACTTCAGTTGTGTTTGAGCATCCAAATGGTAATTATGATTTTTTTCTGTTACAAAACTCACTGATTTCATAGTTGTGTTGGTCTAGGTTTTAGGACTTGGAGAACAAGAAATTATGGTTCTCCTTTGAACTGGCCTTAGACAAACAGATTGTGTTCTTGTAGCACGAAGTTTTGTAAATGATTGTCACATTCCTGCTAAGGCAATGAGATTGTACTGCAGTTATGTATTTGGAAACATTTAATATTGGAGTAAATATTTACATTAGCATCAGTCTCTTCTATGTGGACTTGATTCCTGCTTACATTTATGTTCACACTTAAATGAAGATTAATGAATGGAAATGATTATTTTAGCTGAAACTTATATACAATACAAACATGAAATTATTTCTCAGTTATGCCCAAACCATCTTTGGGCATGCTTCCCAGTGGCTGACCAGGATGGGGAGCTGCTGGCCTCCAGCATGTTCTCCGTGGTGAGAGCCTCACTCTCGCCTTTCCTGACATTGGACCCAAGTGCTGGCCCCATGCATACTCCCCCCACCCCCACCAGTATGCAGCACAGGGGTTTTCTGTTTGTTTTGGAAAGATAGGGGCTTACACTGAAAGCTCCATATTCTTCTTACTCAGGTGGCTAATTTGCACTCCGATGTTTCTCCCTTGTGCTAATTTCTGTTTTCACATGTATTTGGCTAGAATGCTTTTCAGTGTAATGTTCAGAACTGGAGTTTTCTCTACTTCATAATTGGCTCATTTCCTGTCTAACCTTTTGGTTATTTCAGTGTTGTAATCAATCTCTCTATTAATAGGCTCTAGAAAGGGTAGTGATTTCTGTTCTTTAATTTTCAAAGTAACCTACAAAGACAAATTGTGCTCATTGTAGAAAATACGGAGAATATGCATAAGTGAAAAGAGGCAGAAAAATCTAGAAGCTTCATCCTTAGATCCCATCTATAACTCTTCATTAAAAAATAGGGCTGCACTAGCCTATTACATCCTTAATGGAATATTGTAATGGTTATTAAATCAATTGGCTCAGAATCTCTCTTCTTAATAAATGAGTCAGACTATATTACCCCATTACTGTCAGCTGCTACCTTTCCAGAGGGCAGAAATGGTTGTTTTGAATTTCTTAAGCTTTGGCACCTTAGGACGAAGGGAGAGAAACAGGTAAGGTGCAAGTTGGGGCTTGCTGGGCAAAATCCTGAGTCTAAGGCTTAAATTCCCCTGAAATTGGAGATATTGCTGGTGCCACCTCAGGAACAGTGACCTCAAATTGAAAACGGTTATTCTTCACTGTCCTATGCTACTTTATAGCAGACAGAAAGAAGTAAGGAGAGAAGCCCAGTTTTGACAGTAAACAGGGCTTAACTCAGCTACAGCCCCCAGTACTAAGGGTTTTTTTAGAAATTTTTTGAAAATTAAGACACAGAAATACATCGTTTTACACATGTAAATACAGAATACATAAAACCTGAGTTAAAAAGAGACTCTGAATAAGGATAAACTTCTGAAATCCTTCTTATAAATGTTATTAGTTTTCCATTACAAATATGCCCTCTTATTCAATTAAAAAAATATGAAATGAATTCTGTCAACCAGTTGTAAAAATGTTGTGGGTCCCCCACCCCTCTCATCCATTTGACCCCACAGTATTAAACAAGTAAGAGCATGGGGAAGATGAGTTGGGAAGTTCATAAAGCTGAGAGAAGTGTGTGGGTATGTTCACTGTCTAGGTTGGAGCATACTAGCTTTTGCTTATCTGTCATTTGCTGCATAATAATCCAGATATATTTTCTGTCCTACTCAAATAGTTAGGAAATGCTATGTTCTAGAAAAGACCTCTATGTAACTTAGAAACAAGAGGCAGGTGAAACTTCCAATGTTTTGTCTGTATTGCAGCGTGCTTTTAAACTATAAGGAGTTCTGAAAAGGCTGGATGCTATTATCACTCTGTCACTGAATGCCTCCACAAAATGTGGAATTTGTGAAAAATAAGTCTGTACTTGTAATGCATAAATATTTTAGATTGTTTGTCACCTTTGCATGAGTTCACTTGACCAAATTTGGATTATTTAACATTTTGTGGTAGAACTTCTCAGTTCTTTGGATAGGAAATAAATCAGAATTGATGAGGACATTTTCCTTGAACTCATACACATGTATCTTATAATTATTTCCCTTCTGTTGTTCCAAATCAAATCTTACAGTTAATAAAGAGAACATCACGTTAAAGATGTCCTACCTTGTGTAAATCTCTTTATGTTCATGTAACAGTCACTGCGCCCAGGAAAACCCACTCAGGCCTGTATCTGTTATTCACAAATATTGCAAGTTTAAGAAGTCTGGAACAAATGTGTATAAAACTCTCACCCATAGGCCACATTTTGGTTCTTCTGCAAAACACCCGATTAGAAGATGAAATGAAAGCTCTCGTCACCTTGTTCCTACCAAAATGAAGGCATTGCAGCAAGGAAGAAAGAGTAAACATTTAAATTTGGCCAGTGTTTCTGATGATGAACTTACTGATCCAATTCCCTACAGTAATGTTCCTTACATTTCTTAATATCTAAGATTTGGAAAATTTTGGGTGACTTCAGAATTTAAAAAAAAGAAGTAAAGAACAGATGAAAACCCCTTGATCTTATGTAATCCCTAAAGCTTCTTTATAACCCGTTGTCATGTCAGTATGCACAATTAAACTCCTTCTTACATAATTATAATCAAGAAATTTACTGTGCCACCCAAATACAGAGTAGGTATTTCCCTCTTGTGAAATGTAGACAGTACTGGGGTGGCTTAATTAGTGCTTTGCCTCTCTTTTTACGCATTCCAATCCTCTGCTTCTAAAGGCTCATACTTGTGTGCGAAGAAAGACTAGGAATACAAATAGAGCGATTTTACTCCTAGTTAGCTAATAATAATTCACTTTGTAATTGGGCCTTTGTGTTGCCAGTAAGATCAACTGGTGCAGCACTTTCCACATGCATGTTGCGTTGAATGAGAGGAAATAACTAGAGTATAGACTCGTTACCCCCATGGTACAAATACGGCTTTCATTGCCTAGACCCAGAATATCTGACACAGTTGTTTCTTGGGAACGTTTCAACCACTGCAAGTAAGATAAAAGTATAAACTTGATGAGAAGCCCATTAAATTGCAACCTCTTAACCCTTACTCTTCCCTGTGAGTATGGGAGTAGCCAGTGCAGCTATGAGCATATCTGCTCCGGTCACCGTCCCTGAAGCCAGGCTCTCTTGGTTTGGGTGCCAGCTCCACTGGCTGTTGCCTCTGTGACTCAGAGCAAAGTCGCTTTAATGCTCTAGGCCTCATTTTTCTCACCTGTAAAATGGGAATAATGGTAGTTGTTGCTAAGTGAAATGAATGCCTATCTGTAAGCGCTTAAAACAACAGCATCCAAAACACAATAAATAAGCACAAAAGACACATTAGGTTATTTGTTCTAGAGCCACAGGTGTTTATTTCTGATAATGGCAAGTTGAGATGTTGACATAATCCTTAAATTTTAAATTCGATAGACTTTTAATGAAGAAAAAGTAACACAAAAATAACAGTTTCTATCTGTAACACAGAATTTCACTTGTGTAGCAGTTGTTACTACACCAAGGTATTTTCTACAATCTTGTTCCTAAGATATCAAAAAACAAACAAACAAAAAACCCCAGGCCTAGTCAAAAGTAAGCCTGAAGCTTATAAAAGTGCCTTTAAAGAAGCACAGGTAGAGTCTAGGTCAGGAGGTAAATTGCAATTGTCTTACAAAGTAAAGAAAACAATGACCTGAGAGGGTCTGAGGAAATGGGGAAGTCCCAAGCAGAAAAAAAGAGCATGTGTAAGATACTGTAAACACTAATAATAACTCAAAACCGCTAGGTAATCTTGGAAGTAGAATAAGAGAGTCTGTGTCAATGGAATACCACTAAAAACTTCATGGTTAGACATAGAAAACCTCTAGAATCTTCTAGATAAACCAGAGGCAAGGCCTGAAGAACAAGTGCCCATTTTTCTATGGGGCCATTATTTTAAGACTTTGGAAATACACAGCTCATAAATTTGTGATAGTTAAAAGAAAGAGATGCCTTTTTGGTTGATAGACCAGTTTGGTTATTGATATATCAATTCTACTTAAAAGCTTAATAAAATGCATTACCCTAAGACAAGCTCTGCTTTCTGATTATCTTTGGATTTTAAATTTTCAAATGTTTTAAGTTGATACAAATTCGTAAGCAACATGAAATAACCAGAAACCACGTGCTCTACTACATGAGTTATGTTCAGTGATTAGAAACCGTTTCATATGTAAGTTAACTGACTAGTCAACTAAAGATAAGATGAGTTTCAACTTTTCTCTTCCTGTATTTTCCTTAACAGATGAAGGATTGAACCACGAATGCAAACTCTGCAGCCAGACCTTTGACTCCCCTGCCAAACTCCAGTGCCACCTGATCGAGCACAGCTTTGAAGGGATGGGAGGCACCTTCAAGTGTCCCGTCTGCTTTACAGGTAGGGAGGTTACTTCAGGCCAACCTGGGACAGTCCCCCAGCCATATTGGGCCTTTCCCACCAATGCCTACTTCTCACTGACATGGCCTTTTCCAGATATTTGTGCTGCAGTTTTGCATTTCAGTATCAGTTCAATCTGGGGAGAAGATGTTTGATTTCTGCTGGTTGGCATTGTTGATCGAGGCCACCTGAAAGGCTCAAATGGGCAGGAAGGGTAACTGTCAGGATGCACAAATGGTATTTCACATTTGCTTAGAAGTTTGCACTTTGCCATTTAGAAAGCGACATCTGAGTCCTGTTCGCTTTCCTTTTCTTGGTGTGAAAAGGCTTCTGAGGCCAAGACTGCCTGCACAGAGCAGCTTTCCCATCACGAGACATTTGACCAAGAGTGTGGCCGCCTTGTCGACACAGGTTATTTGAACGTGGAGCATTTTTTAACATTCCCCATGAGAAGTAGAAAAGGTATACCCTCCCAAAGTTCTTTGAACTAGAAAACAGAGCAGATGAACAGATTAGATGAGGTGCTTATTTCCTAGGAAGTTGTATTTTTAAAGTAGACGTTGACCCAAATGTACATTGTAAGAAGAAACTTTCATTAGATGTTGCAGCATTATAGTTTTTAGCAGCAAAATAAAACACGGAAATTCAAAACTATAATTTGAAGGCCATAGGGGCTGAAATGTGATCACATGCATTCATGGTACTCCCCCAACAGTGAGACAGTCATTTTGGAAAATGCTGTGTGATCATTTTGCATGTGTCTTGGATTCAGTGGTCAAGCCCCTCAAGGCTATGTTTCCTTCTTATTTGTCAGAAAAAGCAAAACAAAACAAAGATATATCCTCTCAAAATTGACTTCTTTGTTTGCAGAGCAAAATTCTAAACATTGATTATTAACCTTCACTGCATTCAGCCTGTGGATTTCCATCCTATAATAAAATAAAAAGAACAGGTCCCACATTCATTGCCCACTGAGCATGAGTCAGACCTAAGCGTGTCGATGCGTCTGCCTTCAACATTTGCCTGGAAGGCTCCTTGGTTCAGTAATTCCGTCAGCCACTCCTTCTGGGACATTTTATCATTTTCACAAATTTGTATTTAAAAATACATATTGTCTCATGTTTTACCATGACATTTTATTTATTTTAACACACAATGGGTCAGCAGTCTGGGTTCTTTATAGAAGCTTGTAATAAGTCTTCTTGTTGGGGACTGGGTCACAGCTCTCCTCATCATTAAGACTCCAATAAAATAGTCCTTTCATGTTATTGCCAGAAGCCTCATAAAATGTGCTAAGTTACACAGAGATTAGTTGCCAATCTGTATAAAAACCCCATGTCTTCTTGTTGATGGGGATCACAGACAAAAATGCATTAATCATGAACAGTTCTGCATTTTCTGTGCTGACAGGGCCTGAATTGTTTCCGTATATCTTGAAGTAATTTTCAAAATAATAATTAAAAAAAAAAAGACCTTCCAATATACAGCCTGTTAGGTGGAAAAGGAAACCCGAGCAGTTTTTTAAGGTAATGAGAAATGTGATTAAAATGTATGACTCACAAGAACAATATTCTAATATTTTAGGTTGGCTGGCAATTAGAATAATTTTAATGATTAGAGTAGAGTCGGAGTCAAATGCCAACATCTTTAATAAATCCTCTCCCTGCCTATACAGATTAATATTGTAGACACAAACTTTTTTAGGTCACAGTGCACCAGGCATCCATCAGAAGTCAGTTCTGCCAGCCCAAACACTGCCTCTGGCATATACAATTTAATTATTAATAGTATGTCTCCTAGGTAAACTGTTACACAGTCTTAGGGCCTTGTTTTGTAGTCATTAAAATTGAACATGTTTATATTATTGAAACCCTTGCATTCAGTGTGTAGGCTGAGTTGATCTTAAAGTATCCAAAGAGAATTTACCTGCGTTCTGTTTCACATTTATAGACAGTGCCCCAGAGTACCTGTGGGATATAATTTTTAGCATTAACACATTTAAACAGAGAACTGTTTGCCAGCTATAACTTTTGGCAGATACAATAAACAGGGCTTTGGCATCTATGATTTCTGAACCTGTGGGTTGCTGAGAAATAAGAGTCATTTTTGTTCAGGCACTGCTGTGCATTTGACAATTTTCGACTTTATTTTTCAAAGATTTATAGGGAGTGGGGCCTTGATACGCTTGCACTTTGGAGCTGTTTGGGTTGAATTAGGTGCTCGGTCAAGGGCATCTTAACAGAAGCCAGAGAGGCAACTGTGAGCAAATGTGCGTCAGCCTGCCCAGGCCCCTAGCGGTGGTCGCACCCAGGAGGCGCCCCTTCGGTCAGCCTAGTCTGTTCACAGGGAACCACTGACTGAAGGCATTTCAGAAGAAGGTACCCAGAGCTCACCACCCTTTTATCATTTCAGTGTTCGTTCAGGCAAACAAGTTGCAGCAGCACATCTTCTCTGCCCACGGACAAGAAGACAAGATCTACGACTGCACGCAATGTCCACAGAAGTTTTTCTTCCAAACAGAGCTGCAGGTAATGTCCCCACGAGGATGACTGGGGTTGAACTCATTTGGTCTTCTTATAGGAAACAAGACCATTTTGAATTTGGATGCACAGTATCACTCACCCCGGGCCACCAGGATGCTTTGTGTGTACAGGGGCAAAGGGAAAATTAGAGGCTGGATTAACAGACACCAAAGTAATTTTGCCTCAGGCTGCTGTCAATCATAAAAAGAACTCGAAGAGACCTATAATTGGGCCTCCTGACCCAGTGTGGGAGACTTAGGGGTCAGGTTTATTGGACTGTGGGATCATTCACCTCCCTCGTCATGGCCCTTTCTCCCCAGTCCTGTTTAATTCATGTTCTGTTCCCACTGGGCCCCAAGCTGGGTGGAGGTCCAGGTTATTGTCATCCTGAGGGGCTTAAAATTGGAAGGGAGAAGGGGAGAGGAGATAGAGGCCTACTCCTGTCCAGTATGTGTTTCTGCACTTGATGGAATAGAATAATTATTATTTAGAAGAGCCGTATAGTGAAAATGTTGGTACCTGAAGACACTGAGCTGAGCCTTGCTTGTCCATTTGCTACGTATGTGATCTTGCCCTGGTCCGTAATGCAAGAACCTCGCATATGAAGAAATGATAGGGTAACACTTACAGGGCTGTTCTCAGGTAAAAATGAAATAACAGGTCTGAAAGTAATATATGCAACAATAAATAGCAGGTTTGAAATATAAATGTTTCATTGGTTTTATTCATCTTAACAATAGACTGTTAGTTAAATATGAGTAAGAGAACTGGATTCTATCTCAGAAATATCACTTATTGTAAAAGGAAAGTAGCTCTTGGTTTTTTATTATTATTATTATTATTATTATTCTATTACTTCATCCAAAAAATGGGTATAATGCTTATCCTCACTTTTCTGATGAGATGAAGTAAGAATAATGTGTTTTTCTTAAATCTTGTTAGTGCCCTTGGAGGAGAATAGATTCAAATTCAAAGTTATTTCATTATTACAAGCATTATTAATAAAGTTATTTAGCCTAAAATGATGGGTAATTCTTTTTACACTGAATCCCTTAAACAGCTTAAAAAGGAGCTGATCTGGTTGAAGCAGGGACACAGAGCCCCACCCCACCCCATAGTCGCCTCTCCCACCCTGGGGACAAACCCTGGGCTACGTTGTGCCTCTTTGGGCTCTGGGGAGTATGTGAATTATGTGTCAGAATAGGGAATTTTCAGTCTATCATCTCAGTTAACGTTCTATAAGTGAACAAACAACAAAGTAAAGAAGTGACATGAAAGATAACTGGAAGTCTAGGCAGGCTCATTTCATTGTGGACCAAAATTAAAGTTGCTATTATATTTTTTATCAGTTCTAAATAGGATTCTACTCTGTGAATTAACTATAGAAGATAGATCCAGCTAGACTTGTGTGAAATGACTTATTAAAATAACCTAAATTTGTTTGAAAACATACTGTTATTGCAATAGTTTTTAAAGGAAAAATCATTTGGGTTTTTAAAAATGACTTTAAAGGATATGGCCAGTGCACCCAGTGATACTGTTAATTAGTAGACAAACTATGAAGCAGAATTAATAGTAGCTTAAAGTCACAGTTGTAGAGATTCTGTAGGAACTGACTTCTATCTAATGTTGCAAAATATTTGGCAACAACATTCCATTTTAGTCCCATATTAGTAGATTCCGGTGCAACTAACCTGGTGTTAAGTTTAAAAGACCTCAACACTTATGGCAGTGCTGGCCTGTGGCCCATTGCAGAGCAGACAAAACAAGCAATTAGATACATCCCTCAGAACACCAGATTCCTTTTGTAGTGTATTTTAGGGTTTCATGGAAGATAAAGTATTCATTTCTTTTCTACAATTAGTAAAGACCCGTGGTTCTCAAACTCTTTGATCTCAGGATGCCTTTACACTTAAAATGATTAAGAACCATCAAGGGCTTTGATTTATGTGGGTTATTATCTAGTGATATTTCCATATTAGAGATCAAACTTAAGAAATGTTTAAAGCACAAGAATGTACAAGCATGCAAGTTTAGTAGCTATTAGAGAGATGGTGTCATCACTTGTCATGTCAAGTAGCCTCTGGAAAACTCCCCTGTATACTCACGAGATAAGGAGAATAATGAAGGGCAAATAATGTCTTAATGTTATTATGAAAAGAGTCTTGACCCAACAGGCCCCCTAGAAGGATCTAGGAGATTCCCAGAGGTCCCCGAGCCACACCTTGAAAACTGCTGATATAGAAGATAGAACACAAAACACAACTCTGTGAATCTGTTAGATCTTATCAAGTCAAACGTCACTCAAAACAGTTCTGGCTCATTCATTGAAATTGTGATCTGCAGCAAAATGAGACTCAGTCTCAATATATGCATCCTTCCTTAGATAAAGAGTGGTATTTTTAGTTGTTATGTGATATTTATTACAAAACTAATATCCACAGTCATTGGACTATCTATGGAGGTCTATGTTCTAAAATCCCCAATAATTGCAGTGCCATTTAGTCTCAATATATTAAGAAAAATGGTTCAGAGTTAACTTTACTTTTTCTAGTTTTGAGAATGTTTGGATTTTTGCACTTTAACTTTAGAGATTCACCATCCCATGCATTGGCTTTCACTACCCAAATAACCTTTACACCCGTGTGTAGAGGATGGAATTAATGTAATTTCTAAATACTGATTTAGTTCTTGCCTGCAGTAAATATACAAAAACCATAATAGAGTTTTGTTAATTCCTAGAATTGCGGTGGGGGGAACAACTGAAATTAAGGTGGCACTAGAAGACAAGATCAGTAACCAAAATAATAACAGTAGAAAAATAAAGCCATTTTATCAGCCCACTGTAGTTCAAGTCCAGGAGTATAAAATAAATACAATGTTTAAAACTGACACATATCACCCCACTCAAACTCATCTACTTTTTTATTTCTCTAGTTTCAGAAAGAAGGACTTTTCAGAAGAGATTATAAAACTATATGCCCAACAACTGAAATCCTATTGGCAATTTGAAAGCATATAGTTTATTCGGCTCCTAAATCAGAGTGAGAATAATAGGGCAAATTTAGGAGAATCATTCCAAAATTGCCCAGAAACATATCTTTTAATGGTGCATAAATAATTTCATGAGCCTAACAAGTAATTTAAATATCTTTCACTGTTTGTACTCTAAAAACACGAAATAGAAGTGCTTTGTTGGGTATAAAATTACAAACCAACACACATACACCCCACACGTGCAGCACCGGATGTGTTATCTTCGTTAGCATTGCCTGCATGCCAGTCAGAATTCAGATAATTCTTCATTATACACTGTTCATCTTCAGGAGATCAAGACTCAAAACATCATCTTGTGGACATCACAGACCATGATCCCCTCTAAAATTAAGCAAAATGAAATCTCTATTTCTATGGAATACTCAATCTGGGACACACCTTTTGCCAGTGTGGAAACATGTTCCTCACATGACCCCTAAACCTTTACAACCAAAAGTTCTAAAGGCCATTTTGGAGACATATAATGTATAATTCTTAGTAGGATATATATATATTTTCCTTCTGGTAGAGATTCCCCCATTTTTGTAAGGAATTCCAATATACATCAAAGGCCACCTAGCATGCTGGTAGAGAAGATATGCTTTGGAATAAAAGTGCATTATTTGAACTAAATGAACATTTTGTTATTTTTAAAGTGAATGACTATATTGAATGTTTCACATGTTTTCCTAATAGACCTCAAAACTTTTTCTGCAGAACTTAAGGAAGCTGCTTTGAGAGAAGGATGTGTCCAAGAATAATATCCTACAATGCATATTTGTACCCAAAGTGGTTTATACAGGTGTGAGCAAGTGGTGTGTTTGTAAAAATCCTGTTGAATAGTCCACTTTTCTTTCAATACAGTAATTACTGTTTAATGGGTGCCCTAGAAAGGCTACAATTCAGTGGCAGTGATCAAATTATCCTCTTCCACTGTATCCCCGTAGAAAGTTCCATCAGGCATCATTTTATGCATTTAATGGGCATAGAGGGAATTCCAGCAGTAGGAGAAGAGGGAATTGGCCTAGATGAACTTTAGACTTCGAGATTCTGATAATTCAATTCCTTTTGAATTAAAAATTATTTTGATACTCAGCCCTTCCCTTCATTAACTCGTGAGTGCAGGGTTTCCTACATTCAAAACACAGTAGCCATATGACTTTTGGAGGGATACACCAAGATTTTCAGATATCATTTAAGTTCAAATATATAATAGTCTCTAGCTTTTTTTTTCTTCTCAAATCTCATTCTCACCAAATCATATGCATATTTTGCACATCACAGCTTAACTGATGTCCAACTTTTATGGTCATATTTCTGAAAGCAAAATGAATTACTGTATACTGGATGGGACATACAAGACAAGAATACATCCATATCCGCTGAGCACCCTACTGGGTCATGTGCTAATTTAGCAACTTCCCTGAACTAGCCTTTAATAAATGTAATACAAATTAGTGTTTCAAATTATTGAATAGTATGTGATGGGACATTTAAAAGTCCTTGTTAGTAGTTAGAATTATATAAGTGCTCTACTATATACTACTATCATCCCAGTGCCATTATTAGGTAACAAAATATATGTATTAATTAAAAATATTTATAAAAATGTAATTTCATCATTTTAAATTCACCCTGCTCTCAAGCATTCTATGTCATATCAAAAAGATTAGAAACATATCATATTTACAGTCTACTAGAAAAGATAAGATATGGATACAGTTAGCTATTATATGAGATAAATATGTAATAAACTGTTATCAGTATTGCAAGAGAAGATGTTTATTCTCCAACTGGGAGAGTCGAGAAAGCTATCATGTGGGAGCATTCAAGCTGGTTTTGAAGGACGGATATGATTCTGACATCAATGGATGTGGGAGAGTCAACCACCCATGAAATCTCAAATGGTTAATGGCTTTTAAAAAAATATTTTTGATGGACTTTTTCACTTGTTTTAAATACACTTTGAA